TACAAAACAATTTCCTAATACCGAGAATTGGCTTTTGTGCAATTTACAGTTCTGGGGTACTTAAAAATAATTTGAAATCTGAAGTGTTGCTGCATTTCCGATAGCTCCGAAATGCGAAATGAATGGCCACACATGAGGAGATGGGATACTAAAAGACATTACCATGTTGAAATGTAACAACAAAATTGTATTTGTTTCTTGAAGCAGTTTAATCCTTTGGAAACTTGGAGCTAGAACATTCAGACACCTAAACGACACTTAACGGAATGATTTGCCATAAAGAGTTAAGCTCTGAGGTGAATCTTCGAAATAATTGGCAGAGATTCATTTGATAATTTCTTAACTATGGAAGAATGGGCCCAATAGTACTGGTATATAATGACTCTCCATGTCAACAAAATACCAAGTTTCTGACCTATGCGAATTTAAATATGATATCTCATAGACTGCTGTATATTTAGTTTTTATTCCAGTGTGTTATATTTAGGATGTATATGTATATTTCCTAGCCATATAAATATTAAAATATTTCAAGAGTGTAATTTTATATGATTGATGGGCATTATTTTAAATGTCTTTTCTTCGATTTTCGCATCAATTTTCAGATAAAGTTTTTAATATTATTATTGTTTTCACCTGACATGAATTCTGAAAAAAAACATCACATCCACACAGAATATTTTAAAAGATAAAATCAATGAAACCCTGACGAAAACTAAGCAACTTGTGAAAGTTAAATGCCTTAAATGAACAAAAACATATTAAAACTTTTTGCCTATTAAATTGAGTATTTTCGCCAAGCCAACAGATTCTATTGAAAGTTGAGCTGTGCTGCCATTGGACAGATTAAATTCACATTCCATTTGCTTCCCAACGTGGACTTGCCTGCGTAACGCAGTCGAAATCCAAACTTCGGGCTAACTACTGTCGGGGTGTCCTGGCGACGTGTGTTGCTGTCGAACCAAACTATCGAACGGAAAACAGAAAACAGAAAGCCATCAGCCTGATTTGAACCCCAAAGCGAACGGTGTGTTCGACAAACATTCGGATATGGAATAAAAATCCGCTCGACAACAAAAAACAAGTGAGACGCCGAAGCGGGCCAACTTTTTGAATATTTAGCAAAAATGTCAGCGCACAAAAGCGAAGTAGAACAACTGACCGAATCCGAATTCAGATCACAAAAAATGAATGCTAAGCTATGTGGAGCACTGAAAGTGCCGCAGGGCCAGGGCTTGGACTTTATCCCCACTGGGGTCTGCGGGAAAATGTGGAAATGTTTTTGGCACTGTCACAACATCCGGCATGCCACATGCACTTCACCATATTCTGCCAACTGAAGTCGGTTAACGCATAAGCCTCTCGGAAATCCCCAGAGAAAGGTAGGGAATTCCCAAGTTCTACGAACAAAAATCTTGAACGGATTCTTTAAAATTTGCACAACTAAGAAAGCGCTGGAGAAATGAATTGTTAACGGACAACTATTATTTGACAAGCATTTTAATGATTCCAGCCACTTAGGGGCGTAATTAGAGCATCTTTGGCAGCAGACAACGAACAAGAAAGAAGCGCCTCGAATCAGTGGCAGTGGCAATTATAATTTCAATTTTACGGGTTTTCAAGTACGAGTTTTCCGCAGCCAAAGTCGGTTTGCAGCTTTTCCTGCTTCCGGCCCCCTGCACTTTCCTTTTCAGCCCCTGGCACTCCCAATTGTCTGACTTTTGTTTATGCCAGTTGTGTGCTCCGAAGTGCTTAGTTTTAATTCCGGGCCAAAGACAAAGAAAACGAAACAGTGTACAGACAGCTGAGGACCAGATGATAGCAACAGAAATGTTTACCAATATATATTTTGTAGTCTGGGATATACGTTCAGCGAAAGGAAAGAAATATGTGTTGCTAGCCAAAGAGCGATATGAACACCAAATAATTAAATATCCAATAATAAACAGAACTAAAATATCCAATAAAATCGATATATTCTTCTGTCGGCTACTGTACGTTTGCAGTCCCAGGTCGAGTTGAGTGCAGCAGAGTCATTTGTGGAAGTTGGTCATACTTAATTGGAGCTTGTGTTGCGCCAAATGAGTTTTTCCCCTTCAGTGCCACGTGAGAGATTATGGGGAATAAGTATACAATATACAATTCAGCACAACAATGCAGCACTTTCTTAAAGATTCACCTCTCTATCATTAGCACAAAGACCAGGATAATCAAACGACTTCACGTGGCTGAAATGGATTCCGTTTCCGATTTCCTTTCTCGCCCAAAAACCGATTTGATTTGATTTCTCCTTGCCACCGTGTCAAACGTGTTGGGATCCTGCCTCTCCACTGCTCCCAAAACACATTGGAAAACATTTACATTTGCTCCGATTCGTGCTCGTTAACAAAAGATACATATGTATCTCGTAGATACTTGGCTTTTGTGCTCCGTGCGCGCAATGTGTTCGGAGTTTTTCTTATTCCCTGCTGCTTGGCTGAATTTAAATGCCGAATTTTCAATGCAGCACACATCATCCCGGATCCAAGGACATGTGCTCACCTGTATTTGTAGCTGATTCTCCCGAGTGCGAGGGTGTAATCACTTGTACTTAATATGCAGATGATGACAATGTGACAATCAAACCGATTCCAGGTCGCCTGGCACTTCTGCCCCGGCATTCCTGGACTCCCCCCTCTATTGCCCGACGTTATGGGAATCGGATTATTATTATCATTGTTATCGTTATCGTAAAAAGCAAAGGCAGAATGCTCATTTTGCTCTTCCTTTGAAGGCGCAGATTCGCTCGAGGCATAAACGCATTAGACTTCGCCTCTGTCGGCACTTTGAATCCTAAGAAGGCAATTTGTTTGCATTATGATTTTTATCTTTCTGTTCGAATTGTTTGTTTTCATTTGGAATTGCCAATGCAAAATAAAATATAAAGCCACTTTGCGCTGGAATCATGCGAATTTTTCTGCTCTGGCGTTTGACGACTTAAGTTGAAGGCTTGAAGGTTAAAAAAATGGAAACAAGAATTGAGTGATGACCATTTATTTACCTGGTATGATTTAACTCATTTTCTTTGAGGTTAAGCCTCTTAAAATGTTTGCAAAATATAAAATGTAACCTTATAATGCAAATATCATTGCGACATTAATGTGCTGCTCTGAAAATGGACCGTAAAATATATAACGATTTTTTGCCTTGCACTCACCTGAACTCTGTAAATCGGATGTGTACAATATATCGTGTCGGGAATTCCGAACCGCAAGTAAAAAACATATATTGATACCTTAATAGCGTTGGGTAATCATATTTGTAACGCAACGGATGTTAAAAAGTTGCTCATTTTTTTTGGCGCCGTCCAAATTTGCGCCTTTACCCACACACTCATTGCGACCATTTCATTTGGAAATGCACATTTTCAGCTGGCTTGTGTTAATGCACTGGGCTGCAGTCGGCATGCAGCTGGGTTTGTGGTATAACTTCATAAAAATGCCAACCGGCTGCACCGCAAGATTTACTGCAGGCGGCGAAAAAATGCGGAGGAAACCAAACAGTTGCCAGTCAAAAGTTTGGCTACGATAAATGGACTGACGAACGCGAAAGGATAACAGCAGGATACATCGTTCAGGAATACAAATGTGGGAGCGTGTTTGTTTTTACCCAATTTGTTGCTGCCCTTTTGCGTTTTTGCTCTATGGCTTTGTTTTTCGGTGAGAACACACTCGAGGCACAAAAGCGAAGGAAAAAAGGCGGCTCAGAGGGGGAGGAGCTGAGGGACCCTCGACGTTTTAACTGAAATGCAACAGGAGGCCGCGTGTTAATGCTGAAAAAAGGACAACAAACCAAGGACCCTTTTGCAGAAAAGTGGCAAAGTCGTGACGAACTCTGAACTCCAGCTTAAAAAAAGGAATGAAGGAGTGGGGCAGCTGCCAGCTGGATGTCGCGGTCACTTTTCATGCTTTCAGCTGAGCCCTTTCAGATCCCTTTTTCATTATCCCGGACCGGGTCTGTGCAGAATTTGCTGGGGCGGGCCAGCAACAAATGTCTGGGGCGCAAGTCACGCGCTGAATTTAATGCCCAGCCAATGCCCCCGAAAACGAGGCGTGTCAATGACTCTGGGTCACCAAATTGTTGTCGCAGGCAATCCGATTTCTGGCATCTCGCTGATTGCCCCACACAAGTTGATGGCCAACTTCCAGTTCTCCACTTTCGATTTCGATGTTACCCATACGCCCCGTCGCACGCACTGCTCTTGATAGATGGATAGAAATCTGTGGCAGTTCCAATGCCAAAGAAAAGCAACCGCAGAGTAAAACTTGCCGAGTGCCTCGTGGTTAAAGTGCTCTTAAGCATTTACCCCAACACAAATTCCAGCCAACAAGAAATGTTTACCAGATCCTTAATGTTGCTTTTTTAATACTGTGGCAGCTCAATGTCCTTTTAAAGAAAATTTATTAAAGACGACTAATTTATTTATTCTTGCTTCTTGCTAAAAAAACCTAGTTTTTCTTTAACTTGTGCTTGATTTTTTTTTCTAAGCATTTTAGGTGTAAATTAATTTAAGCTTAAGATAGACTTTTAAAATTGTGTACAATGCAACCGCCATACACATAATTTTTGAGGAACTTAATTAGAGTTTTGCTGGGCTTGTACAATTCCCTTGTTTCTCCTAAAAAGCCCGCATATGTTGCTCAAATTTAATTGCTTTACAAACCGCAAAATAGACAACAAAAGTTCCCGCACCGCCTACACACCATTGAAAAACATTCGAAAGGAGTTGAACATGAACACAAGGCACAGATCTCGGCCCAAAAAACACAACAGAGGAGCCCGCAGTGGCATTCGCAGTCTGCGGAGGCAATTTCAACTTTTCCCAGTGTGTACTTAATGGGAAATGACTTTATTGTAAGCCGGCTTGAAAGCCTCTAAGCGGCAATTTTCAACACTTGCGCTATTCTGGAATCTTCTTAAATCTGGTTAAAAATGTATAGAATTATGCAAAACACAACGAATTTGTTTCACAAAGAAAAGCGCTTTATTTAGTACCCATCCTCTGGTGGAAACATTGACTCAATGTTATGGCAGTAAGCCACCAATGATCGGTCCTTATCATCTGGGAATATTTTCCCTAAAAACTCGAGCAGTCCAGGCTGATTTTGGACAATTTCGGCATACTCTTCGAACGCTATAACGCCATCTTTATCCGTGTCGAATTTTGCGAATAAAAACTCACACATGTCCTGCTCAAAAATGTCTTAAAATGCAGAAACATTTAATGATATAACAACTTACCGCTCGGAGTTCTTTGATCTCATCATCATCATCGCCGTAAAAGAATTTCTCAATAGCCAAGCCGACCACCTCACGATTTAGAACCAATGTACCAGCACTTGTATAAACCTAATGTTCATAAAGGAATTTAATAATTGGCCCAGAAAGTAAAGGTGGAATACGAGCGTTTATGTGTTTTCGTAACTGGAATTTTCTTGAGATTCTCATTGCAACTGAAGTAGTTACGACTAAAACTACGACTGCTAAAAGGCAAACGAAAATTCATACTATGCAGATATTCGCATAAAAAGCGAATAAAGAACAGACTTCATTCCAAATGCCATACGTATAACACGAAAACTAAAGCAGTTGTTTTTAAAACAGTCTGTATTATCATAAACTTGTATACCTTTTTTTTGTCTTGCGTAATTTAAACAAAAAGAAAGCTTTACTAGTAAATACCGGTTACCCTGTTTACCAATCTCATAACGAAAATGCCCATACAGGCGCAGCAAAATAAAAGATGTGGTCCCCTTTGGTGTTAAGGTATATAAATCTGCTAACGTTGATGTCAAAGATTAAACTTCATTTCTTAATAACTTCTGAAATAATTTTTGGATTTGAAAAATGTTGATATTTCTTGTGTAAATATGTACCGTCTAAAAACATTTTACTTTGCTTAATCCCAACTCCCGAGAACTTGACGTTCATAAGAGCGAAAAAATATACGGACTTGGATAGATAGCCGGGGCTATTGATCCCTATCCTTTTAGCTGTTATATTCTTTTTAAAGATGTATCTCTACATAAATCATTTAAAACCTCAAGACTATTGACAACTACTACTACGACTAATGTAGCCAAAGAAACCGAGACAATAATATAGAACAATTCGCACCTCAAATGCGAATTTCATTCGCTCCTCCAGATTTCCGGTGAAAAACACGGAGAACAGTCCCATCCAGTCCTCTGGAGAAACGGATCGACCGTCCCTCGTGATATTCATCGAAATACGCTCGATAATGCTTACGTCGAAGATGCCAAAACTGACGAGGAATAGATTGTAGAGCTGCTGAGTGGACATCATGCGGGTTCCGTTGTTGAGCGTGTACTTGTAGAACACGATCAGCAAGCTCACCACATCGTTGGAAGAGAAATCCGTGGAGGCGGTGAAGCTCTTGATCAGACTATTGTATATTGTGAGAAACTTGTTGTTGGCCATGTCATCTAGCGTGAGGTCAATGCGATTCATTGTGGTTTACTTTGTTTTTTTACAAAATAATATTTTTTATGTATTTTTTTTATTTTTTTTTTTTTTTTGAGTTTTGATTTATTGGTTGCTGAAAATGATGAACGTGTGAGACCCAGGCCTACTTAAAAGTGTGTGGGTTATGCAAGGCAAATTGCAAATAGATTGGGTAAGTCGTAGCAGGAGCACAAAGAATGTAAGGAGCGCAATTTTAAAGCAATAAAACAACGCGGCGACATAAAAAATACATCAGCCACGCTACATGGACTACATCTGTCCCCCATTTCGAATAAATATTTGAAACAAACGCGGCACACAAAAAGGCTGAGGCACAAGCTGAAAGCTGTGCGCATGAGAAACGCGAATATAATAATCCAAACAAAAGCGCTGAGATGGGTGTAAAGCCTTCCATGTGGAAATTCGGCGGAAACGGCTGTGTAGCCATTTTGTTTGGGGTAACAAATGTTCGGAATCTCCCTCCCTTTGTTGTGTAATTGTATGCCCCACACTCACACATGCCACGCCCCCAAAAATACCAAAGAAATGAGGAGGCGGGTGAACCGCCCGACACGGCATAATAACAATAAAATAAAAGGGAAGAGCCTAACGCAAAAAAAGGAGAATGGGCGGCAAGGATTCACGCTCCTTAATGTCCCCAAAAGTTGACATCGCCAAGTGTTGGCGGATTTGCAGGCGAGTCGGGCTGGATTTCGGTATAGAGTTTTGATTGATATATTTTTGGGAGAGACTTACGGCATAAATTTCTTAAGGAAGACAAATTGTGCGGAAACCAAATTGGAAACATTTTAATTCGCATAAAAACGTTTAGTCAGCCCGACAATAGGGGAAGCTTTTAAAATATTTTCAACTTCAGTTAAGCAGGCCAAGAAAAGAACTGCCATCAAACCATAACAAGTAAAACCACAAAACATTAAGACACGTCCAGGAACTAGCTACAAATAAAAACATAAAACTATCACATAGCCAAACCTAAGTGTACTTTTCCGTACAAAAAACATCTAAAGAAGCCATGGAAAATCTAGACTCCACGATCGATAGCATGGAGAACAGCCGGTTCTCCGCTCTTTATAGCGGTTTGATCAAGGAGTTAGCTGCAACTTCGAAAATGTCTACATTGGACATCACCTGTTTGCTTTGCGTTTACTACAAGTTCGTTAAGTTCAACGGGCCCTCAGCCAGGCAGATGAAAAAGAGTCAGTTCTACCAGATCTTCCTGGTGCTGTTCAACGTGTCCAATGTCCAGGTCATCGAACGGACACTCCTGGCCATCACGAAGGACACGAAGTTCGTGAGTCCCCAAGCGTGGATTGATCTCTTCGATCTCTACACAACCGATGACCTTGATGTTCGCATGCGCTTTGCCTTCGACGTGCGTTCCGGGATCAGCAAACCTATTTGAAAACTAACTTAGTTTTATTCCTATAGGTCTATGACACCAAAGGCACCGGAGTTATTGACCGCGAACAGGTGGGCGTGGCATGCGGCCATTTCTTTAGCGAAGGCGATGACGAAGATGAACTCGTTGAACTCAAGGCGGTGAGTAACTCATTTACTTAGAGAAGTAGACACCAATGACACCAATTTATTTGTATATAACAATTCAAAATTATTTGGTAACCAACGACAAATTTTGTTTCAGGACATGACAGAGTTTATTATGAAGAAGTTTGATGTGGACAAGGATGGAGTAATCTCTTTTGAGGACTACTCCTCGGTGGTGTCCCAGCAGCCCATTTTGGTTGAATTCTTGGGCTGGCTTTTTCCGTCAAACGAAGAGAAGGATCTTATGGCCCATGTCATCAATATGGACTCCCTTCTTAATTACACTACCCCCGACAAAATAAAATTGTAATATTTTAATATTTTTAAATTTTTGTAATATCATGCATGAAATGAATTAATAATGGTCCAAAATATTTTATAAAATTTATATTCGAATATTTTTTACATAAAAATCACTGGACGCAATACATGTTGTGGCGGTTCAGAAATAAACAACAAAAGGTTCGCTATAAAGCTTTATCCTTTGTCCACATCTGTTGTCTTCGTTTTTGATTTCTTCTGCGCTCGTGCACTATACTTAGTTTTTGTGAGTGGGCGTCTAAATTGTGGTGGTCATGGCATAGCTAATTGGTAACTCTGTGTCGTCCTGAGCTTGAGGGTAATTCCCATGCTTCTATTCTTCTAAAATTTGCATCTCTATATGTATTGTTTATTTAATTTGAGAGATATTAAATTCATTTTGCAATGTTTCTTTTTGCGTGCATTTCACTCAATTTACTTTCCTAGAGGAATTCTTTATTCATCTTGGTCACAAGTTTAATTTTGATTTGCAAACGTTGACGTTGATAAAAAGAGGTCTGCGTGGTCATTAGTACTTCATTGAATGAATATGACAAAGGTTCTTAGAAACTAGCTTAGCTAAAGGGCTGCAGAGTGCCTTGGCAGCGAAGACAACGTGAGAGCAGCTGTATATATAAAAGTCTATAATATATTTGTAAGTGTATTTATGTAACGGGGACGTTTTTTATTGAGGGAAAGCGTTACATGGGAGGTAAGTTCCCACGAATATGCTGACGCGGGGGTGATTGTAACCGCCTCACTCAATTTTTTGTGCTCGGCTCATATTGCATCGCACTTGAAATGTGCTGGGTAATGAAGTTTGTATACGTTATAACAATGCTTGTTGAATTGAGTTTATGCAGCAAACAAGTGCTCAATATATTTGAAATACACTTTTTACAATGTATTTGAAAAAGTATTAATTTTTATAATTAAATACAAAAGCTTAAAAGTTATTGCTAAAAGTAATTAAAAATTACATTGCCCCCTTTTATATAAGTTTGATAAAACGGCCCTAACAATTTTATCAATTCAGAATGACTTAGGCTGCTTGTACATGTAATTTTCCTAAAAAGCATAATGTGATAAATTAAAATAGGTAACAAATTAGAGCTAAGAGTTTTTTTTGAACTTCTTAGTTATCTTACAAAAATTAATTCACAATTACATGTTCTATATTTACTCTCCTTTAGTGAATATGAGTATTCGAATATTTAAAGTAATTAGAAAAGTTTTCTGGCCGATATTTTTTGATTAATGACACAATTATTAATATTTTTTTAATTACATTTCAAGCTTTGATTATTTTAATGGACATTCTATGCTTCCATAAACATATTTTCAATCAATACAGCGAAATTCTTAATGTATTATCTTAAAACTTGTATATATTCCGTAATAATCATAAAATGAATATTTACAATTATTCCCAGTAATGATAAAAGCAATAACGCATTAGGTATTTTACATGTAAAAACAGAAGGCTTTGAAAATATATGTCATTTAGAATCAATATACCAACCCCAATACTTCCCAAAACTCTAAGAGAAAACATAAAAAAACTACAAAAGGAATATAAATATTATAAACAAAAAAAAACAAGAACACTAGCTTAACTAAAAGTTATTTTAAATAATTAGAGGATTTAGTAATGGAAAATCTAGACGCCACCATTGATAGCATGGAGAACAGCCGGTTTTCCGCCCTTTACGGGGCTTTGATCAAGGAATTGGCTGCAACTTCGGAAATGTCCCAGACGGATATCACCTGCTTGCTCTGCGTTTACTACAAATTCTGCAAAGCCAATGGGCCCAACGCTAAAAAGATGACCAAGAAGCAGTTCTACCAGATCTTCTTGGTGATGTTTAACGTGGCCAATGTCCAGGTAATTGAACGCACCCTGCTGGCCATCACAAAGGACATCAAGTATGTGAGTCCCCAGGCCTGGATCCATCTCTTCGATCTTTATACCACGAAGGACATACAAGTGCGCATGAAGTTCGCCTTCGAGGTCAGTTAAAGTGCTCTTACCCACATTAGTTAAGGCTCAAGTTATTTTTTCTTTAGGTGTACGACACGAAAGGAACTGGCACTATTGATCGAGAGCAAGTTGGGAGGGCTTGTGAGAAGTTTTTTTACGGCGAAGACGAAGATGAACTGAACGAACTTAAGGCGGTAAGCTACAGAGGGAGTAAAACATTTAACATATCCTAATCCATTTTACTTAAAACGTTTTGTTAACTTATTTTAGTTTTATCATATTATATAATATACTAATAAAAGTAATACATTTTTATTTCTATCTACCTTTTAAATAACATTAATTTAAATATTTGTATTATTTATTTTAATATATTTTAGGACATGACCGAGTTTCTCATGAAAAAGTTTGATCTGGACAAGGATGGTGTTATTTCATTTGAGGACTATTCTACTGTTGTTGAACAGCAGCCAATTTTAGTGGAGTTCTTGGGCTGGCTATTTCCGTCGAAGGAGGACAAGAATCTTATGGCCCACTGCATTAATCTGCAACTAAATCTAAATTAAATATTTTATTTAAAGCTATATTACGGAGTTTTTATACCCTTGCAGAGGGTATTATAATTTCAGTCAAAAGTTTGCAACGCAGTGAAGGAGACATTTCCGACCCTATAAAGTATATATATTCTTGATCAGCATCACCAGGAGAGTCGATCAAGCCATGTCCGTCTGTCCGTCCGTCTGTCCGTCCGTCTGTCCGTCTGTCCGTCTGTCCGTCCGTCCGTTTCTACGCAAACTAGTCCCTCAGTTTTAAAGCTATCTGCTTGAAACTTTCCCAAAAGTTGTCTTTCTATTGCAGGTAGTATATAAGTCGGAACGAGCAAGATCGGGCTACTATATCATATAGCTGCCATATAACTGAACGATCGGAAATGCCATAACTTTGGTGTTTTTAAAGTTAGCAAGTTAGGAAGTTCTATGGGTTTTAGTTTTGGCTAATCAGTCTGACTTACCAAATTTCATAAGGATCGGACGACTATATCCTATAGCTGCCATATAACTGATTGATCGGAAATGCCATAACTTTGGTGTTTGTAAAGTTAGGATGTTGGGATTATCTATGGGTTTTATTTTTGGACAATCAATCCGACTTGCCAAATTTCATAAGGATCGGCCGACTATATCCTATAGCTGCAATATAACTGAACGATTGGAAATGACATAACTTTGGTGTTTTTAAAGTTAGGAAGTTGGGATTTTTTATGAGTATTAAGAATGCATCATATAAATAATTTTGGAGAATATAATTTACAGAATATTCTGCAAGGGTATATCAACTTCGGCTCCGCCCGAAGTTAGCTTTCCTTTCTTGTTTATTAATGGTTTTGTTTAAAAAGTTAAAGCCTTATAATATTTTGATATTAATATTGCTCTATTGCTATTTAAGTGACTTGCATTTGTAGGTCCATCTGTGTTTCTTAAATTGCCCAAACTAATTGACCTGATGAAAATAAGTGAAGGAGTAATAATGGATTTTGACCTGTAGCAAATGACTTTAAAGCTAAATAAAAGGCATAATAAATCAACTGGCTAATCGTAGCCTGAGCTCACCTTCTCTGTGGAATGTGCGGTCTGCTGGGTGCTCGACCTAATTCAAGGCATCCCATAATTATATGCCTCGCCACAGCCGCACATGCCACTGTGGATGGGAATCAGTGCCAGGTCGGAAGTGGAAGTCGGTTAAGTAGCTCATTAACTTCAATGCGTTTGATTACATTACATACGGTTTTGTGCGGTGTTCGAGCCAAACAATTTGAGAATTTTGTGTGGCAACCCTCTCTTTTCTCTCCAGCCTCTTTACCTGATAATTTGCCCAATTCAATTGGCATTTGCAAGTATTTGGGACATGGCTAAGCCACTGAATGCTCACGTATTTCCCATGATTTGGCATTTATGCAGTGGCGTTATGTGATGCGAATTGACTTACATTAATTGCTGCCAGCGGGGCTTAGTTTCCCACCAAAAGCCCAAAAACCTGCTCTCGACACCGGAGTTAGGTCACATCAAGTTTTAGTTTCATTTAAACTACTAAAACGGGTTAACTTGATCGACTGGCTGCAGTTGACAACTGCCGGACTTCAAACCCCATATCAACGGTCTAAGCCAGCATGTGGCCCAAGGACTTGAGTTGGCCAGAACTCTCGAGTTGTCCTTTTGTTGAACAGTCCGCCGTCGGCCAACATGTTTGAGTCTCGCTGGCATCAACATTAATTATCCCTGATAGTAATCATGCAATTTGTACGTGAGCCCGGGCCAAGCTAGCGCTCCTCGGGCCATCGGCATCGGCATCCATGCTGCGGTCTTTATTGTGGCATTAACAGCAGCATCCGCATGGCCTGCAGCCCCGGCAGCATCATTATGCTCATTATTGTCGTCAAAGGCGTGCAGGGCGTTCTGCCGGAGGCCGGAGGAGACCCACACCCATACCCATACAGAAACCCGAACCCAATCCCGGATAAAGGCAGTAGAGGAGCGGGCACGGCGGCCTGGAGATCCGGGGACAATGCGCGTTTGATGAATTGCATTAGGACATGTATGTAATTATAATCAATTAACCCAGACGGGCATGTGGTGCCCAGCAATTTACTCTGCAATTTAAAGGACAGATGAGCAGTCCTGGGGCAATATCAAGGTGGAGCTTTTAGGTCTACATACCTTTGCTATAAAAGATGTTGATAATTGTTGCAGTGATCTATTAATTATTTCTTTAAAATTCCAATCATAAAGAAAAGTAGTGTATACCAAAAGGCTTTAAATTTGGTTAAAAGTTTGATATCGTTAAGCCTATTAGTAGTACAAATGTTGAAGTATAGTTATGTATGGAATTTTTGACCTTTTAATAATTTGCCTATTTAAAAAGTTAATTTATAATTATATTCCTGGGATACAAAGAGATCCCTCAAAGATATAGATTTTAATTAATTACAAAAATAATAATTATTATTTAGGTTACAAGGCTTGTATTGGCTTGACCTGTACACTATGCCAACAGAACTACAAATTTTGGCAAGCCAAAACATATTTCCTTAACTTTGTCTAAGAGGATAGGAATAAACGCTTTGAAATTTAAACTAAAGTCCACCCTCAATCGCACTCACAAAACCCCAACTCCCTAATTGTATCTCCTTCGAAATCTAACCACAGTCCATTGACAATCTTCGGTGATGGCGGCAAGTGACTTTTGGGCTATCAATGGCCAAGTCGAGTTGGCTAAGCAAACAGACCATTTAGCTCAGTGGACAATGCAAACTTTGAAGACAAACGGGGCGGAAAAGTCGACCCGCTGCAATTTTCGATTAAAATTCCAGTTTGCAATTCAATTAAACACTAATTAAAAGACATTTTTCCGCCAAGCGTTGCCTTTGACAACTTGCCTCACTCACTCGCCACCTCGCCACTCTCACCCGGGGAAATTCTCGTTTTTGTCTCGGGGTTTTCCCCGGGGATCTCTGGGCTGTCAAAGCGGCAGCGGATGTTAGGCCACCCACTCGGGATAAGGCGGGTCGACAAATGCGCACAAACTGTGATAAATGAAGGCGAATCGGGGGGCCAGTAGGTGCAGCTCGGGGCCGGGTTCTGGCATAATGAATGCCATGGAGGAGCCTGGAAGATAAAACACAAGAAAAACGAACCGAAGCAAAGGGACAGAGGCAGAGACAGGAGGCCAAGAAATCAAAGCCAAGTATTTTTTGCTGCATTTCTGCACCGGCTTTTGGCTTTGACTTTCTGTGGGACAGTGTAAGCGAGTGAGTTAATTTCTGGGCAACTCAAAAGCTTCACGGAATTTGAGTTCGTTAAAGTAAATTTCATCTCCGCCTCTTTTTCGTCCTGTGTCCTGTTCCGGGTGGCAACTACTTTGTGGCAAATTGAGAAGGGAAACACAAACAAAACCGGTTAAAAGGCAAAAGCGTTTGTCAATTATATTCCAGGCAGGAGGCACAAAATGTGTGTTTTTACACAAGTTTTTTGGAAAACTTTGAGAGCACCAAGTGTTTTGGTGAACTGCAGAATATACTGAAAATACATTTGGCCCATTTTTATCAATCGTACTAAATATGTTGCCAAATCACAAAAAAAAATTCAAGTCAAGAAAAATATTTTAATACAAATTTAAAACTCCAATTCTAAGTAGACAATTTGTAACAAATATAAGGTACTAAAACCCCAGCTGTTACAAAAAAAAACATTTTGTATTTCGATATCAATGCTTAAAACAAATGTCGATTTTCCGATAAGTTTTTCGACCGTTCCTTTGGCAGCAGTATGATATAGTCGTCTGATTTTATAAAATTAAATTGAAATTCTAAAAGTTTTAAAAATTTCTATGTCTCGGGGTATATGGTAAGAACCAACAAAGATACATTTTATTTCTTTTCTTTTCCTGACAGTTCCAATGGGAGTTAAATGCTATAGTGGCCGATCCGATCCGTTCCGACTTATATTACCTCTAACAGAAAGAAGACTTTAATAGCTTTAGACAGATGTATACGCGGACGGACAGACGGATCGTCTAGCCTGGTTATGCTGATCTAGAATATATATGTTATATAATCTTTAGTCGATCTATTAAATAGTACGTTTTTAATAAACAGATTAAAATTCAATAAAAACACCACGATTCCTAAAATTCCAGATTGTTTAACTTTGAATTACTAATCGGGACGGAAATTCGAACCTTGCTAACATCCTTAGCTTGATAGTTTATTGTTTTTGCTATCAACTGTTTAACTGATGGCCAATAAATTAAACTCATTGGTAAACCAACTTTATTCCTTGTCGTTCCATGCTTAAAACCACATTCAATCTCCTATCTCAATTTCATTGACTAACTAGCACAACTTCCTCGAATCAATTACCAGAGTTCACAACTTTGGCTAATTACCCGCAATTTTGTGGCGAATTTTGCAATGCGATACAAAAATGTCAGACCAACTTAGAGCGACTAAGTAGAGCTAACATCTGAGAGCAGCTCAAAGTCAGAAGCCGTCAAAGGCGGAGGACTTTTGAGCGCTTTCCATTATCCGCTTGGCTGTGCTCGTCAAAGCTCGGAACGGATGAACTGGCGGCTGCATCCTGCCAGGAATGGCGATGGTTAAAGGGGGTCCCAAAGGGGGACCGTCTTTTCCCGGCCAGAAATATTGGATGCCAATTTGTCGGAAACTGCTTAATTGCATCGCAGCTCAATTTTCCTATCCCTTTCTCGTTTTCTCTTTTTTTTGTCGACCCAACTTTTGTGCACTTGACATCGAACCTCGCTAAACGGCTGTGTGTATATTTTCGTTGCCGGCTTAGTTGCATATCATTATGATAAAAGTTCAAGTTATTGGCGGTTTTTTCGTGGGCAGTATGACCAGCGCATTTTTATGGTCATGTCTCGACCTTCAGCCCCACGAAAGTTTTATTTTCTTTTGCTCCTTTTGCAATAGCTGTTTTTTACACGATGGCTCTCAGCGCACTGAGTCCGGCTAATACCATAATCCGATTTGGGATTGGAAATTCATAGAATTTTCATAAAAAAGAGAGCA